TTGAGTAATTTGGTCCTTTGAAAGTTTGATGTATTAAAAATGGGCCAATACATAACTTCCCTAGCCGTTATGAGGGACAATTGTGAAGGGACAGCAGTCACAACTCATGACTCTGTATAAACGCTCTGTAAAGTTTTCTCATCAGGGACTGGGTTGTCTTGGGTACCTTAATATAGGGCCTTTAAATGTAGTTAGCCACAATTCCAAAGTAAGAATAAGAATAGTTTTCTTTGTTCAAAAAGATGTTTTGCTCATTGCTGGACTATTTTACTTTATTTATATTTAAGCTAATGTTGGAGGAAGTCTTCTTTTTAAGACTATACTTTCTGTTGCTGTCAGCAATAATTTTTTCATTTGATTTTTGATAATAATTGTAATACTTGGCAGTACATGCTTACAAAGACAGTTACTTTTTCAGAGGAGTATGCACTTTTAAAGAGTTTAAGTTGTGGAGGCTATACCAATGTACTTCAAGACGCTGTTGTTTGGTTCAGCAGTGGTGGTACTAAATCAGTGCTCCACTATGATTCTGTGGATAACATCAACTGCCTCTTTGATGGAACAAAAGAACTAGTCATGATTAACAAGGTAAGCTTTGTATAGAGGACTTATAGCCAGACAACCATGCTCTAAATGGTACTTTTTGACATAAGGGGTTGGGCTAGTGTGTAAAGTAAGCCTACAGATTTTGAGCTGCAGTGTCATGGAAAGGGTACTATGCAAACTAAAAAAGAAGTGATTGACATGAAACTTCTCCCTATGATATCCCTGCATTATCCAGCAAAACAGGTAGGGAGAATACTCAAAATTATCAGGTAGAAGTTGTTATCTTGATCTAGTGCTAAATTCCCTCAACTAATTTATGAGGAAATGTGCATCAGCACAAGGGGAGAATTAAAAATCAGATCTTGAAGGATTGAAAGTACTCATCCAATCCTCTAATGTCTGAGATTTTGTACCAAGAACTTTTGAACTAGTGGAATCTGTGTGTGACTGTGTGCTTTTTTTGTGGAATATTTTTTGATGGATGTTTTTTCCTCTGTTGCAGTCTCATCTTGAGCAAGCACACATCGACAAGGTCAATGGGGCATTCTCCACTGTTGACGTAGATCAAGTTGACATGTACAAATTCCCAGGATTACAGACAATCCCTTATTATAAGGCTGTCATGGAACCAGGAGATTGTTTCTTTATCCCTGCAAGGCAAACTTACCCTTCTTTTTTATAACATGCTAAACATGAATTTTTGGCTGCCAGCAAATTGTCTTTGTTCATTTGCAAGATCAGCCAATACTGGTGGACTAGGATTTAGTCAAAATAGAATATTCACCATCAGATGAGCTACACATTATTCATCATTGTTACCCTGCTTGATTCACCCACTGATTTTTAATGCCCTGAGTGATTTTATTATAAATAATAATTCTGAAATGGAGAACACTCTTGTTACCCCGCTCAGCTATTCTCCTGTTACAGCATTTCTCAGGGAAAAGGTTGAGTTATTGCTTGCCTCCAGAAGTGATTCACTAATGTCACTTCTCACCGTAACAACCTAGCATTATCCAGAAAACAGGTAATAAGAATACTCAAACTTATCAGGTAGAAATTTTTATCTTGATGTAACACCAAATGCTCATAGCTGACTTACAAGGAAATGTTACGGAGCAAGAGGGAAGAATTTTAAAACAAACCGATCAAGACAGTTGAAGTGTTAAAGTGTAAACTGCATCAAAGTTGATTTTGTGTACTAATTGAAATTTCTAGATGGGTTCATCAGGTGCGTTCCTATGGAAAACGAAATCTTGCTGTGAATATTTGGTGGGCTCATTTTGAAAAGTTTAACCAGTCAGACTGTGATCACAGTCCTTACAAAGACAAAGAGTTACTTCCTCTTCATCACTTTGAGTTCCATCCACAAGAAGCCCTCAGGTAGATGTAATTCTGAAAGTTGCATACAGTAAAAACTCTTTTAAGTCCAGCCCCATCATCTTTCTGCTCTGGACAAAATTTGCACTGAAGAGAAGTGCTTGTTTCAGGGTGGGTTGGCTAGGGCGTTGGTCTTGTCAGATGAAATATGTATTGTCCTGCTAGTATGAACAGAAAGCAAATTAAATCTATTTTGTAGAAGTGTATATTTAAGTGCTGCTATTTTGCATGTTTTCAATGCCAAATGGATTGGAAAAGTGTGGGACCTGTAGCTGATTGTATTGGGCAGTAACTTTCTCCTTCATGAAGTTAAAGCTACTAGTTGTTGTGGGTCACTTTGCTTTACAATTATAGCCCAATTTTGTGGATTTCAAAAGCCCTCTCCTTCCAAAAAACCTTCCTTCCAAAATCAGGCCAAACACAACATCTCTGTTGTGAAAAGTCGTTGGCACTTACTCTCATTTTAAGGCAGAGGCATGGGGCTCATTAATTTTTTCTGGAAATATGATCTGTCATCAGTGGGGGAAATATCGAGTTGGAGTAGTTGTTGATCTATATGTAGTCCAGCTATCTTTGAAACATCCACCAAAAGTAGGACTTACAGTTTCATGAAGCGGTTTAGATTTTTCATACATTCTTTGAATAATTGTGTACTTTGCTTTATCACAGGCAAGCAGCTTTGCAAAACATTGGTGAAACACCAGTAACCTTGGAGCGTTACTTAGAAATAATTCAGGTACTGAAAGGAAAAATCGTTCACAATTCAAAATATGTCGTGGAATCAAAACATATACACTATAGGAAAACCAGATTACTGTTTGTTGAAAAAATGCATTTGTTGCAAGGAGAAGGAGAGGAAGGTTGTTTTCATACCAGCTACAAGGCTATGCTTTAAGAAAAATTGAAGGGAGCCCAAAGCTCTGAAATTGTGAAATCCAGATGCCCAGCATATACTTTTTATGAAAAAGCTATGATTCCCTAGTGACCCAAGAGCAAAAGTAAGGCATCAGGGGCCAGTCCAGATGCTGTTAGAGCACAGACCTGAAGCTAGTTAGGTTCTGTTGCTTCCTTTTTGCTATATATGGAGTGGAAAAGTCCCCTTTAACTAAAGCGTGTTTGTCAAAGGTCTTATTCTATTTAACATTCTTTTGAATTTTTCTTTAGTCAGTTCATTGTTTGCTGATGGCTCATGTGAAATTGGTGTTTTGTTCTTAGGAAGATGCTAAAGACCTTGGGGATGAAGTATCAATTTTACCAACAGAGACACTAGAGCAGGTAGTTAGAAGTCGCTTGTCCCTTTCCTGACCCTAGACTGCTCTGCATGACTTAGAAGAAAAAGGCTTCATTGCCTTCTGGTTTTATGTCATCATCATTAAATCATCATTGTTGTCTTCTTGTTGTTTTTGTGTTGATTTTATGTTTGATTGCGCTTGAGGTGAAGAGAGGCAGCAATGTCGATCAACGTAATTTTAAGCTTTCATCGTCATCATCCTTATTATCAACAACATTGTTTTCATTCTCATCATCATAATATTTTGCCCATAAGGAGATCTAACATTGAATCAACAAGAAGATGATATTGAGTTCAAAGCACTGACAAAGCTTATGAAAATGATTTCCTCTGTCGATTTTCATTAGAATGGTTTAAGCAGGTGCAGAGACAACACAAGAGGCAAGGGAAGGATGGGGAAGGTATCCTTATTCATTCACTTAATTCGTACAATTCTGACCTCTTACTTTTGGTTTGTTTTGTTCTTTTTTTTTATGACAGAATTTTCACGAAATGGACTTGAACAAGGATGGTAATCTATTTCTTCAAGATGTCACGCAATACGTCGTGAGCGCTACATGACGTCTACGAGGCCGACCGATAGTAGCCGGCGAATGACTTCCTTTGGAAAGAATCTTTTGAGTAAAATAACGTATAATTTAATTCTAGTAAATTATTATAGTAACTTGTAATAAAAGAGGACTGGATTTATTAATTGGTTAATGTTCTTTCATTAAAAGGGATATACCAAGACCCGATTGCTGTTTGTACGTCGAAAAAATGAGAAAAGTTGGAATTCATTTTTTCCCTTGCTTAAACGTCACGTTTGAACTTCTTTCCTTTTTTCAGCGATTTGTATGGTACGAACTTTATCATCATCGAGGGCTAACACCTATTTAGTTTTTCCAATCATATAATGTAAAAATAGATTTGAAATATTTAAAATTAGCAGTTACTTTTTTCTAGCCAGAGGTCAACTTCTGACACAAAAGAGTTTGTTGTTATTTATTTGTTTGAGGTGTGACAAGTTTTAAAATGATCGCTCTCAGCTTTGTAAAAACATCTTAACAGTAACGTAAAATTAAAAGACGTTCAAAGCTGTTCTGATCTATTTTTATTTCTTGTGTACATACCATCCTAATTATCATTCATAGTCTATAAGCAGTTGTTCTATTTTGCTCGTTCACTTTCCATCTCAGAGGTTATTATCAAACGTTATTCACCTCCAAGTGGTGTGCAAAGTACGGTTATAAAGCGAGTTTTGCTTTGTTTTCAGTTTCAGTTTGATACGTCCTGCATCAGTCGTGGTGCCATAAATTTTGCGCTGCTTTGGTCACCTCGTGTGTTTGTCACTCGACTGTTCTCGGCTGTTGACTAGGGGAAAATTTTAGTCCCCCCCTCTTCCAATCGACCTTCCGACATCGTGGGCTCATGCCCTGATGCGGAGCTTCATCTGGGATTGGACGACAGTCACATACAACTAGCATGAGTCCTACATACCGTGTGCATGGGTGAAAAGTATTCTACGTGGCGCCCACCTTTGGTGTCAGCGTAATAACTATTGATCCTAAAAGCACTTAAAGCTGCTGCTTCTATTTAGATATTATATTAGTTTACACTGCGCAACTTTCTGTGCGGACCATTCTGACTTCCAAACGTATCCCGGAGTTAGCGAAGTGTCCCCTTCAGTAAATTCCGAAACACAGACAAGTGGCAGCAAACCCTTAAGATATTATATTATATTTGTTTTCATAGATATATAGTAAATTCTGACAGAACTTGAAAAATTTTGTGGACAGAGGTA